GAGAGAGAGAGAGAGAGAGAGAGAGAGAGAGAGAGGAGAGAGAGAGAGGAACCCTGGAATCTGGTAGAACCATGATGTGGAAATACCCCCCTATGGTTTGCAGATAGGATTCTGGTGGAAAAGTTGAGAAGGAGAGAGAATGAGGATGAAGTCTAGCAAGATGGAAAGGGGAAGAGGCTAGCAGGGCTTGCTGGAGCTGAGCTGGGGTCCTCAGAAGACGGTATTTTCTCCTGAGGGGCAGCTCACTGTAGCTTCCAGAGCTCAGGATGTTTCCAGCTGTGGTTCTAGATACTCCTTTCTTTACTGTCTCTTCAGTTCCAGATGAATCTAATGCTCTCCAACTGTAAAAGGACAAATGATTAGACAAGACTCTCATCCTACAGCCACACGATGAACAAGGCAAAGATTGCATTGAATCTCACTTTTAAAACATTGTTATTATTATTATTACTAAGAGTAGTAGTTGTGCGTGTATGTGTGTACGCGCACGTGCAGGTGCATACAAGATACAGCATGTGTATGGAGGTCGAATGACAACTTGTGGGAATCGACTTTCTTCTACAGTGTGTTCCAGGGATCAAACTCAGATTGCCCGGCACAAGCACTTTTACCCACTGAGCCACTTCACCTGCCTGAATTTCACATTTTGAACGACCAGTTGTGTATTAGCTCATTATGTCCCCATCTCCTGCCTCTTTAATGCATCTGAGCTAGCCTCTAGCTACTTGCTAAGATGTGAGGGAGGCAAGTGGGCTGAGGCCTGGGAGATGCCAGGGGTTCATTATCTAACACCTAAATTCTTCAAAAAGCATTCTCTTTTTCCAGGGACAAACTTGTGCATGTATGAAAACTACACATGACCTTGTTTCGTGAATCAGGAACAGGCCAAATATACTGCAGAACCAAGTAGATGAAGTAATTGGTAAGGCTGACTGATGATGTTTGTGATGGGTGATCCCTGTGAGCCACAGTGGAGGGAACTAGCTGAGCATGCCCTCAGAGTCCAACCCAAAGGCTCTGGGAGCTCCGATGGATGCAGGGAGCCATGATGGGCACTGGAATTCAGTCCGAGGAGCGTTTCCCTGACAAGGCAATGGGAAAGTCCTGAGAGATCTGGGAAGGAGGAGCTAGCCAAGGGGAGACACATTAGGTCAGGAAGTCAGAGGATGTATATAGCAGGGGTGAGGTAAGGAGGTGAGAAGAGCGGAAGCAGAAAGCACTGGCGATATACAGATTGAGAGAACATAAAGGTAGGAGCCAACAGGGCAGAGAAATGGATAGAGACAGCGAGAAAGGCAAAAGGAAAAGCAGGCGATGGCGATGAGACACGCGGCTGGCTGCGGTGCTGTCCTTCAGTCAGCTTCAGTGGCAGCGACTGGAGTCATTGCTGCTGTTCTTCAAACATCTGGATCTTTCCTGATGTCTCTGGATTATGGGGTTCCAGCTGTGTTGGCTCTTAGGTCACTCACTGAGACCCCAAATGGTTTTGTTGCTCTGTGCAGTGATCAGCAGTGATTCAGAATCCAGTGATGAGGAACTCCTGGAAGTCTGCCTGGGCACCGAAGGTCACGATGCAGATGGACAGGGAGGGTGAGGACTGTGTGCCCTGGGCTCCTGGACGCAGAGCTCGGCTCAAGATTTCACAGCTGTTTGACGAGGAATTCTATTTGGAGGACATTGAGGAGCCCACACATTCTCTGCACCCCAACTTTTCTGATGCTTGTGAAAATGTGGAGAGGTGGAGCAGTATTTGCTGACTTGGGGTGTTCGTGTAATGTCAGAGTAGAAAGAAGATGCTGTATTTGTTTTGTTTGTTTTTTTTTTCCTTTCACATGATCATGTCTCTTTGTGGCATTATAAAATATGTATTTGACCTTTGTATCCCTTTCTTGGCATAGAACTCCTGAAATTCCCACAGTATTCATTAGCTGGGTGTGTCTGGAGATAACAGAGAGGCTAGGGGAAGATGCAGCCTGGCCTACATAATGATGTTGCTAGGGGTCTCCGTCTGGACCTGGGCTCTCCAGGGTCCTGGTGTCTTGTTCAAAGAATTGAAGAAGCACACACATAGCCAAGTAGTAATGGATTTTATTCAGAAGCAAAGTGAAAGCACAGAATAGATAGACTACAAAGGGGCAGCAGACCCTGAGCAAGAATGCCACTCAACAGCATCCAGAATCTGCCCTGGGCTTCCTTTTATGGGCCCAGGAGGAGGAGTTAGATATGTGTGTGGGCATAAAAGGAGGCATGCTGTTCTAAGGTTGCTGGGGATCTGTAAGTCAGCATGAGCATGGCTAATTACTTTGTTTAGAAGTGTGTGTGTGTGTGTGTGTGTGTGTGCGCAGGCGCAGCTCAATGCAAGTGAGGGGCTCAGGTTGGTAAATGCTTTGATGAGAAAGGGCTCTGTGTGTCTAGCTCAAGCCAAGCAGGGTCTCAGGTGGCCAAGTTATCCCCATGCTTGCCTGTCTTGAAATCTAACTAAACAATGAAACAGAGTATCTTTTAAAATCCAGGCACATGGTTAGAGGGTTCGATCTTTCAGCCCTACACTTTTGATGTGGGGTTTTAAAAGTAGTAGGGCCTTTCTCAACTTTTGGTGAGCTTGACTTGGGGACCTAGGGTGCTAGGTGATCGGTGGTCACCGAAGATAGGCTGAGCCACTGGCTTCTGAGTTTGTTGTCTCACACTCAAGAAAAACAAGGAAATATGGGTAAGGAGTGAGCAGAGTGAATAGAGATTATTAAGGAAAAGTAAGAAGGAACTCTCGAGAGTGGGAGCACTTCCAAAGGAGGAACACCGCCATGCTGGTGCTGCCTAGATGGTGGGAACTGGATAGACAATGAGGTATGGTTTACTGAGATGGGTTATTCTCTGAGCATACTGTACCCAGACCAGGGAGCAGCCTACACCCACCCCCTTTGCATGCCATCTTCACCCAGCCAGAGAAGTGGCCACACACTAGTCATCCCAATCAGGAGAACAAATATTGTGGTTACAACTTATTGTGTAGGTTATTAACAGAATCACTCCAATGTGACCAGCTCATGATTGGCAGACTGGGGATCCTGTCCTTACTTCATGCAGGGTGCTGACTCCTGTCTCAGTATGCGATAGATAGACTTTTATAGAGAGACTTGTAACTTTTACTCCAAATTACCGCATAAGAGAACTTGCTAAGAGTTTTGTTTCCTGTGGTCCTGAGAATGATCATCTTCTATGGCCATACTTTTGGCTTTGAATGAATGAGTCTATTATATATAAAGCAAGCCAAAGTAAAAGAATAAATAGCAAAAGATGATAGATGATAGACAGATAGATGATAGATAGATAGTAAAATATCATCAATTCAAGTACTCAAAACATCCAACAGAAATCAACTGGGGAAGCCTCATTGCAGCAGTCAGCTGGAGTTCCTGATAGAGTCCAGGGCAGGACAATGTGTCCCCTCAGGTGATGCTTCCAAGTAAAAGAACAAATAGCAACAGATGGGGATGATATCATCAAATCAGTTGCTCACAACTCCCAGCAGAGACCTACCGGGGAAGCTGAGGCAGTGAGCTTCAATTCCCGATTGGGCCTTCTCTTCACGGGTGAGCTTCCCATAGCTGAACTTCTTTCCCACCATAGGCACTTTTGCACTATGGGATAAACAGCAGTAACATCTGTTGGAAATAGTTTACCTCCTAGTTGCTCTCAAGGACAATGTTTTAACTCTTGGGCTCTTTTGCTGTTCTTTCCTCTGAGTCACAGAGTTATGGGGTGGGGCAGCCCATCCCTAGACTAGAGTTCTTGGAGGGCACTTTGGGACAAACATACTTGAGTATGAAATGGGGGCGGCAACCCCAATTCAGAGGCAGCTTTTTAGTGTGCTCAAGCAGCACATGACAATAAACCCAAATGATGTACATTGCAAGGTTTTAGTTTTATTCAGAAAAATAATTGAACAGGAAGGACAATATAAAATGCTTGAAAAAGAAGTACAGCAGGTTGTCTACACTGAAGGGCAGAGTGAAGGGTGGGTTGGCTGAGCATCACTGGCTGCTGGAGGGATGGATAGTGGAAAGCACAGGAACGAGTTATGTCAACAAAATGATGGGCTTGAACTGTTGAATGGTTTTGCTTGTATCCTGGATTGAAAAAATGCTTTTGAACTTCATCTCAAATTGGGCACCTACTGTAACTCCCAGATTGACAAACTTGGTGTCCTGGAAAAGGAAACACAAAACCAATAATAGCCATTGTTTAATAACCTTGGCTGGCCAGTGCTCCCGATAACCCAGAGCCTCATTTAGACTATTCCAAATGATGAGATTTAATCCAGTTAAGAGGAGGTTATGAGGCCAGTGAGATGGCTCAGTGGGTAAAGGCACTGCCCAAAAGCCTGACAAACCTGAGTTTGATCCCCAGGGCTCACATGATGGAAAGAGAAAACTGACTCCTGAGAATTGTCCCCTGACCTCCACTCATGAGGTCTGATGTTCACCGCCCCTCCCCCAACACACACACACACACACACACACACACACACACACACACAATTGAAGAGAAGGCTATATTCCCTAACAGTTTGATTCTCTTCCTTGGAAAGACAGAGAAGCAAAAAAATAGTATTGGAAGTTGAAAATCCCTTACCCAAAATGTCTGAGATCAGAAGTATTTTGTATTTCAGATTTTGGAATATTTGCATATCCATAATGAGATGTCACAAGGATGGGACCCAAGTAGAAACACAACATTCCTTTGTTTTATATAAATACTTCATTGATAGCCTGGAGATAATTTTACATTATATATTCAATACTTCTCTGGATGAAACAAAGTTTTGTGCTGTGGGATTTTCCACTTGTGTCACATTGGTCCTCAAAGTGTTTCAAATTCTGGACCTTTTGAGATTTTAGATTGTCTGATTTGATTTGGTATCTTCCTTTAGGGAAGAGATAACTAGTTGTCTTTAAAATATACTGCTTTTTCTCATAACAGCAAACAGATCTGTTGCCTGTTGCTCTCCACGGGTGAGAATCCACTCTCCAGCAAAGAGTAGACGCAGAGGTTCCAAGATCTTGTTTGCAGTGACACCTTCTAGTTCAGTGCTACTTCCCCTGCCTGCATCACAAGGCTTTTTAAACTATTTACAAATTTTAATTCTGTAGGCTTGCCCCATAATGGGGACAATTACATTTACCATCCATAATATGGAAGATAAAGTGATTTAATTTTTTAAAAAGGGAAGCAGGAAGAAGTACTAACTTTGTAAAATATGCTGTGGTTCTGAAAGATGAGGCGCATGTCCCACACAAACCTATGCACCTTGCGGTATACTTTCTTATTCAGCCTGTTCTTGATTTTGTTTAACCACATGTACTCCTGGATGTCTGGAAAGTCTTCTTTCTTCTGTTGAGGAAAGCATCAAAGCAAGGACTATCATAGCAGCATGGGCCAAGTCTGCTCTTCCACACACTCCCATGGTTACAATCTGGGTCTGAAAGTTTGTGCCCCCACTCCCTCTAATTCATATGGGGAAGCCCTAACCCTCCTCTAGTGTGCTGGAACTAGGAGGTAAAGCCTTTGAGAGGTAAATATGTCATGAAGGTATAGCCCTCGTGAGTGGGATTAGCATCCTTCTTGAGACTCCAGGGAGGTTTCTCTCTCTTTTCCCACCACATAAGAACACGGTGAGATGTGAGCCACCTGTAACTCAGAAGAAGGCCCTCAGCAGATCCCAACCATGCTAGCACCCTAGCCTCAGACTGCAAGCTTCAAGAATGTTGAGAAACAAATTTCTGTTGCATACAGCCCCTTCCCACCCAGTAATTTTCTATGGGGGCCTGCACAAGGTCTCCCCCAACAGGGCAAAGAGAAAGGTAACTGTACCCAGGGGAACCCAACCACAACTTTCCAGTTTTGTTGCTGTTACTCACTTGATGTGGTTTTTTGGCAAAAAAGCTACTTTCTGGATGACAATAGATAATCAAGAGAAGCAGCTCACATTTCTGTAAAAGACGGAGGCAATTTTAAGTGGAAGACAATTTGGAGAGAAAAGGCCTGTGTGAATGCTGGGGTACAGTGCACAAGTCCCCGACCTTAGGCCTCTTTGAAACAAACATGGAATGCAAATACTCATGTCTTGAGTATGAATCTTAGCGTCAGGTCATGTGATCAATGCACAGCACGATTTGCCTTGGATACCATTCCTTACCTTCTATAAAAGACTGCGTTCCTCTGTGGGAACCAGGTGACAGGTTCACACTGACTCACCAGCTGTTCCATAGGCAGCATCCTCTTCGCCAGGATCTTAGATTCTTCATGACGTGGTTGACTTTCTTGGCACCTTAACCGAATAGCCTTTGTCTTGCAGAAGGTACAACGCCATGAGTTTCTGAGGGGTCAGGCATGAGGTGAGCAAGGGCAGTCTATGAACCACCTACCATTCCTGTGGCTGATAATCTGTTCAAGAACAACAGGTGGCTTCCACCTTGTATTCAGTTTCTTTCTTAGAGGTCTCAGCATTGGCACTCCATTTGGGCTCAATATGCAATATCACTTCTGTCAGAAGTGATAATCTATTAACTGAGGTGCCCAAGGAAGTGATGGACTCTTATCTATCTCAAAACTTGAGGTTACCACTGGGATCTTGACAATGAGTCCTGTTTGGCCATAACAGGGAACTTAGTATCTTAAGCCCAGGAGTCTTGAACTTTGATGAACCAATCAGACTACAGTAAAAAGCAGGAAACCAGCTCTTGTTTCTAAGGGTGGTTGGAATAAGCAGAGGGCACAAGCTATAGACACCCTTTCATCTTGCAGCTAGAGTCTGTGCTGCAGAATTTCTTGGAAAGGAAGTTTACTGATGGTGTCAAATATTTTCCATTTATCCCAAGATTTATCCTCTACCTTCTCTACCAAGCACTCTATGCCAGGAGGTCTCAGTAATCAAGTGAATACAATGACCCATCCCACCGTGTTTGCCTTCCTTGGCCACCCAGTGCTTGCTTGAGGTGCTCGTTCCGAAGTGCCCATAGTGTGGGGTTGGGAGCTGCACAGGAAGGAGGAAGAAGAGCTGATCTATTTTGTGCCTCTGTGGATTGTCCAGCTGGTCAGAAGAGGTTTTCACTAATCCCTTGTGATGGGGACCAGGTGGGTCATATGACTCATCTCACTATGAGAGGGCAGTGCTCTGTCCTCACAGGGACAGATGTGTTCCCAGTAGAGATTATTCTGGACACAGTAATTCTGCCCGTACCACACACAGAACTCATTATCAACTTCATAGATTTTCACATATTGTCATCTCTGTCCAGGGACACATCTGTAACAAAGAGGTGCCTCAGGGGACTGACACTCAGTATTCATAGGTCTTATGCTGGGTTCTGTGGCCCAGAAGCAACTGGCTTGATAGATTGCTGGGGTGGACTTTTGAAGGACCATTGCAGTACTAACTTTAATCAACTTTGTGATCCCATAGGGGATGGTGGATGACTAAAATGAACAGCCAGCATATAATGTCATCACCCAACAGAGTGCATAGGGGAGATGGAGTGACACTTCTTACCAGTAACCACTTGGAAGCCTTTTTTTCCATTTATCTGCTTCAGGGAATACCCTTAAATAGTTCTGAATACTTCTGGATCTGAGACTGAGGGCCGTGCTCCCACTGCATGAAGACACATCCTACTGGAGACAGTAGCCCAGCAGCATGTGGGTGTGTGGAGGGAGGAGGGGTGCTGTGAGAAGGAAGGGCCAGGGCAGGGCTTCTCACTGACCTCACAGTTTCCACGGGCGGGATGTGGCAATTCTTATGATAGGATTTTCCACAACTACAGGTGTGCAACTTCCCTCCTTGGCGACACACTTTACACTTTTTTGAGTTTTCCAGCTAGAAGAGGAAATGTTGTAGACAGCATCAAGATCAGCGTGACTCCAGAATTCTAGAACACATAGCCTTTGCCTGTACCAGGTGGCGCCTCAAATATTTCTCCTCAAAATATTACAAAATAAGACTGAGCAGAGGTTTTAGAAGAAGACATTCTAGTCTAAAATAAAGTTCAGGGAATGGCTACGGTGTGTCAGATTAGAAAAACTTTTTATGAAAATGGTGATTCTGACACACAAAGTCTAGCTAATAACAACAGTGACAAAAAAGAGAATTAGGCTGACCAGATAAATTTATTATTCAGAAAAGCCTGACTCAGAAATACAACGTCTCATCTGGCTACATTTGTTTGTTTGTTTACTCTTTTGAGTTCTTGAGATAAGGGTCTTCTCATGTCGCCCAGCCTTGAACTTGCTATGTAGCCAAGGCTGGCCTTGATTTCTGATCCTCCTGCCTCAGCCTCCCACGTGCTGGGGTGCAGGTATGTACCTCCATACCTGAGTAGTGGCTGTGTGGTTTTCTGCAACTTGCTAGGTTTTGTTTGTTTTTCAGTGCTGTGGATCAAACCCAGATCTTTGCACATGTACCTCCATACCTGAGTAGTGGCTGTGTGGTTTTCTGCAACTTGCTAGGTGCTTGCTGGGCAAGCACTGTACCATCAGCTTCTTATGAGGTAAGGAAAGAGCCAGGAGAGCAGTTCCTGGACTATGGATTCTAACTCCATATCAGCAAGTCTGGGTGGAAGGGCCAAGGGTACGAATGATTAGCTGAGTACCAGGAAGGACAGGGCTCTTGCCTATAGGACCTTGGCGAAGAGCCCCATGACTTAGCCAACTTGGCATATTAGTGTGGAATGCCACTTCTAATGTCCAATGCGTGTAGTCATGGTAATCACCCATGGCTGAAGATCAAGGCTCTGATTTTCTGGGCCCATTAATGAGCTGGTAACCTTGTTCTATAAAAAGAAGATGGAAGGACCCAGAAAATTGACTGATACTGCATTTCTAACCAATCTCAGTGTGGGTGATCATTAGCCAGATTTATTTCCTTTAGCAACGTTAATATATTTGACAGTACTTGCATGTAATTATTGTGGAGACCAACATGCTAAAAAATGGAATTTGCTTTACAGTAAGACTGTATTAAGGGGGCTGTGGAGATAGCTCATTCAGTATAGTTCTTGCCAAGTGAGCAGGAGGACCTAAGTTACAGCTCCATAACCCACTTTTAAAAAAGCTAGGACTGGTGGCACACCCTTGTAATCCCAGCGCTGGGGGGATGGTGACAGTCAGGTCCCTGGGAATTGCTGACTAGCCAGGCTAGCCTAATCTGTGAGCTCCAGGTCAGTGACAGATCGTCTCGCAAACCAAGGAAGATGGTACCGGAGGAACAACACCCGAGGTTGACCTCACGTATGTGCACACAAGTGCCCCAAACATACACACATGTGTACACACACACACACACACACAATTGTTAAGGAAGGAGCCCACTGGTGAGCAAGGAATTCTTTGGATGATAATCTATGTAATGACATATGTACTCCTGCACTGTATAGTTCCTGTATGTGAGTCCCATGTGTCTGTACTGGAGAAATACCCAGAAGGGTGGGCCCCTAAATCCTCTTATGGTCATGTGAGTAGAAAGGGCAGTTTGGGGGTAACTGTGTGGTAGGGAAACATTTCGTCCAATAGGTAGGTGATTTTGCACCTAATGAGATGTTTTTTCTACACCATGGGATGGAAAAGGGTGCTCATACCCCGGTGTGACGGTCTGAACACCAAGTAATGCACAGGCTTAGGGACAGGCCCTTCCAGAGATGTGAGCTGGGACTCTGATAGGTGGGAGGTGGCAGAGAGCACTGCTCCAGCCCTTCCTTCTAGAAGGAAGCACTCCACGCTTCATTCCACAAAACCCCACTCTCGGAGCTTTCCCTAATGCTCTGCCTCTTTCTTTTCTGGCTCTGCTCTCAGAGTGTGGGGATTCCTTGGGGTTCTGTCCTATGTCCTTGGCTCATTTCATTTTCCCTGATGTCCACAGCTCCTCCCATGACCACACATATCACACACATCCCCAGACTTTCAGACCTGTAGCCTGGCTTCCTTTGGAGCCTCCAATAGCCACGCTCTGTTTCTTACTCCCTGAGATGTGAGATGTCTTTCCCTGTGTTTAAAGCAGAATCTGTTCCTCTTTTCTCTCTCCATCTTCAACCACACATCCTCTTCCCAGAAGCTCGGATGTGAACCCTGATTCCTCCCTGTTCCCAGCTCAGATATCTAGCTCAACACCAGTCCTACTTACTCAACTTTTAAAATCTCATCTCATTCTCAGTATTTGTAGGGCCTGCTGCTCTCGGGGGTGCAGAGACTCTATTTACCACAGTGCCAGCAAAGGAAAATGCCTGATGAGGCAGTAGTGTCATCCTGGGCCCCCTGAGCCCATTATAGTTTGTGATTTCTCTTCATTTAGACATTTAATAAAAGACACACAGGAAGGTACAGATTCTAGGCTCCAAGATGTATCTGGCCCATGGGATCTCTTTAAATAGGAACCTTGAGCGGCCCTAGGGACATGTTTGGGCACATTCACAGGGTTCTTGAGGTTGTCCTGGCAGAGCGCCTTGGAACAGCCTTTGCGTTTTGTAGCAACAGGTGAGACTTATATACCGAACAGTATTTTTAGGCTGCTGGGTCAAGGTTTCTGAATCACCATCCCATAAAGACACTCCAAGTGGATCCTGAGAAAGAACAGTAACACAGGATCCTGTCCTTGGAGTTCCATCATCTAAAAATCCTGAAAACTTGAGATGTGCCTTTTTAATGTGGGGTGGGTACTGGGGATGGACCCAGGCCTAGGGGAGCATTGTACCATTAAGCCGCATCTCCAGTTCCTATTTATTTTTGCTTTTTTGTTTGTTTTATTGTTTGGTTTGGTTTGGTCTTTTTGAGGCAGGGTCTCCCTGTAGCCCCAGCTGGCCTCACAGAGATCTGCCTGCCTCTGCCTCCCAAGTGCTGGAGGCTGGCTCTATTTATTTATTTTCTAGTGCTGGGGTTTGAACCCAGGGACCTTGGAGCAAGCTAGACAAGTTCTCCACCATTGACGTCCTTATCCTTTAAGTCTTTCTAACAAGAAATTTATTCTGATATTTAGCAGTAGTCATTAGCTTGTTATAGACTAAAATCACCTAGGGGACTTTAAAAAAATTCAGGGCTTGAGGGTACAGCTCAGCAGTACAGTGTTCAACCTAGCTTACACAAGGTCTGGGTTTGATACTTAGCACTGAGGAAGAAAAGCAACAAACAAAACCAGGTACCTAGGATCCTACCACTGGATGCTTAAACATCCTGAGAATGTTCTAACACACACTCAGCAGGTGAGACTGCCACGTGTCTCATATACATGCCACAGGCCAATCTGATGGAAACAATTCCTCATTTGAAGTTCCTTCTTCCTGGGGGACTCAAGTTTGTGTGAAGTTGACAAAATTAACCAGCACAGGCTCCCTTGCCCTTTCCCATAAAGAGTGCTTGAGAACATAGGCTCTTGACCTTAGCTACAATCGGAAATTACCTAGGTTCTTGCCCCTAAGATTCTAATGGTATTATTGATTTGAGATGCTGCCCGAGAACTGCAATTTTCCCAAGCTCCTCTTGTGACTGTGGACCACTGCTACCCAATCTGTAGTATCCATCAGATATATCTGGTACGCTTGGTGGACCACAGTGGACTGAGGACTGAGCCCTGCCCTGGCTCCCTGATTCATCATGGGAGGGCTGAGCTGAGGAAAGTGTATTTGTTCCAGGTCCAGAGGACCCCTTTCTACCAGCTCTCTGTTGGTGTTCTGTCCGGCTGTGCAGTGTTCTATAGTGAAAGGCACCCCTTGCCGTTATGCAGAAAGCTGAGCTTGCTTAAAATGTCCATCTCACTACCATGAACAGTATCAGGGTATGACTCAGAGTAAGGAGGGGATTGGCCAAGGTTTTGGCAGACCCCTAAGTAGGCAGCCTTGTGGCAAGCAGAGAATGGACAGGGTCTGGTGATCAGGATGGTTTGCACATGAACGAGCACCAGTCAAGCAGACCAAGGGAAAAAGCACCGTGCTTTGCTCAGCGGTGATGGTTTTGATCCTGACCGGCTCCCCCCTCCCCATGGCTCCCTTGAGACTGAGCCCAGGGGCTCCAGGAAGGGCCATTCATTCTGCAGGCACTCCTCTGCAGGACAAGGACAGGTCTACACCTAGAACTTGCAAACTAGGCGTGACTTGCCCCTCCTGGTTGGTGCTCAATCTTGAGCACATACTGGGCTGTTTCCTTTCTTTTTACTGCCTTCTGAAAATGTTGTTTCCTCTCAAATTTGCTCCTTGCCCCTCCTGGATAGGCCTCAGTGGTCTAATGTTCTATCTCCCATACCCACCTTTGAGGGGAAATAAGGACATGGGATGGTTTCCAATGAAACTCACAGAAGGATGCTTCTGGCAGAGATGCCCAATTCCATATCCTTCTAACTTAATTCCATCTTGTAACATTTTTGGCACCTTTGTAAATTATCTCTCATTTCTTTTAAATTTTTTTTTTTTAAAAAAGATCTCTCTCTGTGTAGCTCAGATTGGCCCCAAACTCTCCAGCTTCCTACTTCGGCCTCTGAGTGCTAGGATTATAGGTGTGTGCCACCATGTCAGCCTTCTCTCTGTTTTAATAAGGCCATCAGTTTTCATTCATAAGGGCTGAACCCTGATGACCTTATCTCATCCTATTTACCTCTTCCAGCTCTACACACCAGAATTGGACTAAGTATCACTGCCCCATACCTCATAATGTAGCTTAAATGCTAACATATGAACCCTTGGGTTCACACTGGTACCGCATCCAAATCATTGTAGCAGTCTTGCCGGGTATCACATCACTATATTCTCAAGTATGCGATAAAGGAAAAGCAAGTCCCCTGTATAGCTATAGACTCAAGTGACATAAATCCCCAAGGGGGAATTCTACATTAGATCATCCAGAGTGACCATAGGATGTTTCTAAGGAAACTTTTGTTCCATTCTTATTTCATTTAGAAATAGACCCAGAATAACAGTGAAAACAGACACTGTTTAAGCTCAGCTTGCAGAGACAATGGATATTAAGTATTGTTTTGTACATTTTAATATTATCTTGCTTTTTCAATTTTAGCCCATATTTTCTATTTAATTTTAAGACAGTATGGAATTCAGATCTTTTGGTATGCATGCATATATGTATGTATGTGTGAATGTATGTGTGATGCATGCATGCATGTGTCTGTCTGTATGTGTGGATGTATGTATGTATGTATGTGTTAGATGGCTGTGAGAAGTGAGACAGGTCCCAGGCTGGCCTCAAACTCACTCCAGTCCCCTTGCTCAGCCTCTGAAGTGCAGGCAGGCACGAGCTCCCCTGATTGGTGGAAAGTCAGTTTTGTCTTACCATTATTTTAAAAATATTTATTAAGACTTTTAATTACATTATGTTTTATTTTGTGTGCATGTCTATATGTGTGTGGGCATGCACATGCACTGACACTTATGTAGTGATCAAAGGAAAATTTGGGGGAGTTGATTCTTTCCACCATGTGGGTCCTGGGGACGGAACTCAGGTCATCTGACTTGGTGGCTAGCACCTTTACCTGCTGAACCATCTCACCAGTTCCTTGTCTTTCTATTTTTAAAGATTGTTTCTATCTCTATCTAAATGTTTTAATGCTCAAAGAAGTCCTGCCCTCTCATGTTGTACAGTGTCTGAAAGTATCAACCATAGTAGCACCTAATACAAAATCAAACTTTATTGTAAGTGGTCAATTTAAAAACTATAA